ATTTAAAGAAAATGTCTTAACTTTTTCTAAAACTCAATCAAAACCTATAAATTTACAATCCTTGGTTAACTTGCTTAGACGAGATACCTTCATTTTTCTCCTGGACGGAATCACTAAATTTAATGAGTTTAGAAATTTTAGTTTTGTAGGGATGTAACAATTTAAATTTTTCGATAAATATTGCAGCCTTAGAAAATCGGAGATGGTATATATTACTTCTAATTTAGTATATTAATCATCCGGTTTTCGTTATCAGTACTGACTATCCTTAAAGATAGTTTTTACTTCATTTATTCAAAGTTACTTAACATTTTGAGTCGATTTAGTATCTGTATTCATTTTTTATATTTATTTTATAATTTAATTATTACAAAACGTTACAAAGAATGAATTAAATAATTTAAATATTTAGTATATATGATTTATTATAAACCAGTTGCCATGACCATCAGGACATAATCTGCCTTGTACTTGATAACATCGATTCATATTCTCCAGCTTGTCAAATTTAAAAGAAAATCGTTCATTCTTTCTAGTTGTTTCTCGAAAATAAGATCTCAGGTACGAGTTGATCGAAGATTGCACAGGAAATGTGATTACGATTAAAAATATAAAAACGTAAAATACATTATATAAAATCTGATTGATATTATAAATAATGTGTTCTATATGGGAATGTTTACTATATTTCTGCCACCATGTGTAATCTCTGGCCAACAATTTAATTTTTCCAACACCTAAATGTCCCCTAAGTAACACATATAACATTGACGTTCTCATTTTGAGTGGGATTATAATACTATTTTCTTTAAAAAGAAAATCTTTTATTAAGATTAATTCTGTCTTCATGTTTTTATAAGTTTTGTTTTTAACAGTTCCCCTTTTCTAATATTATCTATAATCTCCATAATTTCTTTTTCATTAGCACTTTTCACTATTATTTCAAAATTTATTGGCATGTCTCATAATTCTTTAGTTTCAAATTCCAAGTTTTATATCATTTCCTCTGTATTTATCTGTGTTAATCTTGATAAACAATCAGGTACAATGCTACATTTCCCTGCTCTGTGAATCGTTAAATCACATGCTTCCATGGCTAAATTTTATTTTTGTAATTTCATTGACGTGTCTTTAAGACCCTTAGTAAGTAAGTAAGCAAGTGGTTTATGATCTGTGATAATAGTAACTTTATAACCTATCAGACTTTCTTGAATTTTTAGTCACGTAAATAATCGTAAAACATTCTCGTTCAATGTTAGTATAGTTTACTTCCTATTTAAGCAATGCACTTGATGCAAAGGCAATATACTTTTCTTTACCATCATCCTCTATATGAAATAAAACGTCTCTTAATTCGAAGCGTCGGCGGCTATTCCAATGGATAGATCGTAGATGGTGAACTTAAACATTTTCAATTCGTTAAGACTTTTCTGATTTATATTTTATTTATCTTTGAATGTAGATAATTCCTCTTTAGTTTTTGATTCTGTTTTATAATAGCTTTTATTTTATCTAGATGTTTACCATTAGCATAAATGTCGTGACCCAGGAAACGAATTTCGTTTTTAAAAATATGCTTTGGCAAAATTAGGTATTAGACCATACTTTGTAATTCTGTCGAAGACTTTTCTAATATTGTTTATATGTGCCTTATCATTATTTCCAGTTATAAGTAAGCTATCAATGTAAAATATGGCATCTTTCATAACACAAATTTGACATCTTCACTAAATTTTTATTTAAACATGTTATTATTACTCATTTTAACATATTTTCGTCAACAAAAATCAAAAAACTATGATTATGACAATTGTCACTTATCTAGAGTACAACTTCACTAAATTTTTATTTAAACATGTTATCAATACTTATTTTAAAATATTTTCGTCAAAAAAATTCAAAAAACTATAAGAATAACGATTATGACAATTGTCACTTTTCATTGGTACATCTTCACTAAATTTATATTTACACATGTTATTAATACTTATTTTAACATATTTTCGTCAAAAAACTTTAAAAATAACCATTATGACAATTGTCACTTTTCTATGGTACATCTTCACTAAATTTTTATTTAAACATGTTTTTAATACTTATTTTAACATATTTTCTTCAAAAAACTTTAAAATAACGATTATGACAAATGTCACTTTTCATTGGTATATCTTTACTAAATTTATATTTAGACATGTTATTAATACTTATTTTAACATATTTTTGTCAAAAAACTTTAAAAATAACGATTATGACAATTGTCACTTTTTATTGTCTTCACTAAATTTATATTTAGACATGTTATTAATACTTATTTTAACATATTTTCGTCAAAAAAATTCAAAAAACTTTAAAAATAATGATTATGACAATGTCAATTTTCTATGGTACATCTTCACTAAATTTTATTTAAACATGTTATCAATACTTATTTTAACATATTTTCTTCAAAAAAATTCAAAAAACTTATAAAATAACGATTATGACAATTGTCACTTTTCTATGGTATATCTTCACTAAATTTTTATTTAAACATGTTTTTAATACTTATTTTAACATATTTTCTTCAAAAAAATTCAAACTTATAAAATAACGATTATGACAATTGTCACTTTTCTATAGTACATCTTCACTTTTTTATTTAAACATCTTATTAATACTTATTTTAACATATTTTCTTCAAAAAAAATTCAAAAAACTTATAAAATAACGATTATGACAATTGTCAATTTCCTATGGTACATCTTCACTAAATTTTTATTTAAACATGTTATTAATACTTATTTTAACATATTGTCGTCAAAAAAACTTTAAAAATAACGATTATGACAATGGTCACTTTTCATTGGTACATCTTCACTAAATTTATATTTACACATGTTATTAATACTTATTTTAACCTATTTTCTTCAAAAAAATTCAAAAAACTTATAAAATAACGATTATGACAATTGTCACATTAAAATATTATCCTTAAAAAGATCATATAAAATCATCAAAAAAGTTTCATAAAATCCACCTCATTTAATAAAAAATAGATAATTTTAACAAAATTATAAAAGATTTCACCTAAAATTGTTTATTTATCTAATAAAATTTACAATATAATTCCTCAATAAAAGATGTATTTACAAAGAAAATTGTGAAAATCACTAATAAATTTTATTAAAAAGAATATTACATTTTTACAATATAGCAGCATATTATTTTTTTTATTAAAATAACATCAAATTAATAAATTTATTTTCATTTCAAAATATAATAATATAAATAAAATAAATTATTTTACTAAAATAAATAAATAATAATTAATACTAAGCATCGATGCAGAATTTTGACTAATTTAATTTTAGCAGATTTATATAGGCTTAGTTAGACGATTTTTAGGCTTAGCCGATTTTTAGGCTTACCTAATTAGGCTTAGCCGATTTTTAAGCTTAGCTGATTTTTAAGCTTAGCCGATTTTTAGGCTTACCTAATTAGGCTTAGATTTTTAGGCTTACTTAATTAGGCTTAGCCGATTTTTAGTAGGCTTAGCCATTTTTAGACTTAGCCGATTTTTAGGCTTAGCTAATTTTTAGGCTTACCTAATTAGGCTTAGGCGTAGTTTTTAGCTGATTACGCAACAATAATTATAGGTAATAATATTTTATTATAAATGATATTAAGGGCTATGCGATTAAATAAAACATTTAAATTATAAATTAATTTTTTTTGTAAATTATGCATTTGTTTTTTTTGTCACATGTGATCTGCATCGGGTCTAATTTTTCGAACCCGGGCCTAAATTTTTTTAAAAAAATTGTTCTGTTTGGCTTGATCCCGAACATTTTTTTTATTTTTCCTGAAAAGCCCGACTCGAAATAAAAATTATTTGTCCACCCAGCCTGGTACGAATTTATTTTAATAATAAAAATTTAAATTTTTCTTAAGGGTAAAAAATATTAGCGCCTTGTGTTTTGCAAGATTTTAAAATATTTCATTTGAAAAAATGTAATGATATATTAAAAAAATTTACGCCCAATTTGGCCCAGCCCGAAATTTTTAAAAAAAATATAAGGCCCTAACCGAAATTAATTTTAAAAACTAGACTCGGGCCGGGTACGGGCCAGGCTGTGATTTGCAGATTTCTAGTTCTCCCTGCTAATAATATTATCATTATTTCCTTAAATTCATTGAATTGAATACCTTATTTTAATAATAATAGAATTAGAAATAATATATTTATATCAAATGATGATGATGCTTAATTAATTTAAATGTAAAAATTTTAATCATTTTTTCTCTCATTGAAGGAATATCTATTGAATATAATCTTTATAATAAATTGATATGGAAATTTGTCTCAACTGTTGAAATCTCATCAAATTAATTTTTGAAGGCCTATTTTTAGGAACAATTTTTCTTGAATCCTCATTTTAGGGATAGTTAACTTTAGACGTCCTCTATATTGAATAGGTTTAAAAACCCCTGTATTTTTATATTTATGTTATATATCCCTGTAGGTCGGCAAATGCCAATTGGTTTGCTTCATTTCTGCCAAAATTCCCCTCTTAAATGATTCAGTGGAACATAAAAAATTTAAAAGGCTATAAATAAAAATTATCTTATAACTTAAAAATTAAACAGACCATAGTTAATTTTTAAAAATAGGAGGATAGATAAATTAACATGGGTAAATATTTTGCTTAAATGATTCAGTGGAACATAAAAAATTTAAAAGGCTATAAATAAAAATTATCTTATAACTTAAAAATTAAACAGACCATAGTTAATTTTTAAAAATAGGAGGATAGATAAATTAACATGGGTAAATATTTTGGCTAGCATAGTGGTCCAATAATGCAGGGTGACAATTTTAAATTTTTTGCATAAATTATATCATATGTATTTTTACTAATTATTTGTGAATTTGAAATTTAATGTTAGCTATTTTATGGAGGGTGGTCGAATATCAGTGTGGTGGGGTAGTACATCAAAATATTTTTAAATCTTATTTTTAGCATGTGGAATCATCTAATGAAATATGCCATGGATAAATTCAACCATTTTTCTGATGCTTCATTATGCCGACCAGAGAATTTAGAAAAGAGTTTAAAGAAATTTATCGGTAGGTTTATTTATTTTTTGATTTTCATCACTTTTTATTTATTTTTTGATTTTCATTACTTTTTATTTATTTATTTTTTAAAAGCAAAAATTATATTATAAAAAATTTGAATTTTTTGTTATAATTTAACTGAAAACTGCTATTAGTTGATTGTGTTAACAACCGAAAATTGCTCTTTGCCAATATCAAACAACAATATACCGAATCTTAAAACTTTAAGACACTCAAACAAACGCTGGAAAAGTCAGAAAATTTGGCCTATCAAATTATTTATTACCATGATATATATTTTACCCATTTTATTAGAGTTTTATTTTATTATACTTTGTCAAAAAAATATTTTATTTATCATAAACGATTTTAATTTTCAATCATGTTTCAAATCCAATCAAAGATTTTATTAATTTGAAATGTGACTTTTTCACAAATTATCGTTTTTTTCGACAACAGATCAACTATATTTTTTTGCTTATTGTTGAGATATATATATATCATTGTTATTTATATATTATAATTATTACACTTATAGTTTATAAGGAAAAATAAAAAATATTACTTATTTATTATAAATTTTTTATATTTTCTAATGGATGGATGAAATGATGACTCATTTACTTACTCAAATTATAATTATCGCATACTATAACATCGATGATAATTCATTTATGCACCCACCCCCCTTACCAGAAAAAAAATTTAATAAGATAATGTTTAAATATATTATATAAACTTTTTTGTTTTAATGATTAACTTTTTTCTTAAAATTTTCTTATTAGTTTATCTGCCTATTCTCCTTAATCAATCGGGAGACATGGATTTGACACCAATTTTTACCTACTATTCTCGGGTGTTTAAAAAAGAACCAAATTTTCAAAAAATGCGATCAATATATTGTAATAAAAAAAATGGAAAGTTATTGACTGACACATTTATATATTATATACTATAATTAAAATATTGTTGAATTTTTCATTGATTTACTATTAATTTTTTTCAAATAAGATGTTCTCTCTGATTCATTTAAAAACATTTAAGTCATTTTATTCCTTCAGTAATTTAATTTTTGCAATTTTTAAATATTAATGAAACCCACAATTGTTTTTAGTTTGGAAACCTTTCACGCCTCAATCAACACATATTAATATATTTAATGAGTTTAATGCTAAAGTTACTTTTACACAACCATATTTTCTGACACTCTTAGTTTATTTTTATATAAAGTTTAGTTATTATTGTAGAAAACATTAATATTATTTTTGTATTTTATTTTTAAAACTTTATTACTATAATATACATAAATATTTTACATAATTATATTAGTAAAAAAGATTGTTGTTTATTCAAAATTTTTAAAAAGGATGAAAATATATATTTAATTTTTGTTTTTTCTTCCCTTTAATGATTTAAATTTATGATTTTTATTATATATCGATGACTTATAATTTGATTTATCTATCCATTAATAACATTTTGTTTCTTTTTTGTATATATTACAACTCTCAAAAAGAATTACAATTTTTTTTTTTTCTATAATGGGAAATGCGAATTAAAATTTAAATAAAAGGAAAAAATAGAAATTTATTATTAAATGGCCCAAATTATTTATATCTATATCTTGAATGTTTTAGCTATATAAACTAAAATTTTGTTAGTCACTCTTTCATATATTCATATTACACTAGCACCATTACGAATCGAAATACTTTTTAGATATAACCCTCTTCTTCTTTATGGTCTAGGAGGAATAAAATTTACATAATTCTTAAATTATTTTTTTTTAATTACCTCAATCGATATTTTTAAGACGTTTGCCTTTTTACCTGTAAAATTTCAAAATTTAGACCAGGAAAATGTATCCGCTCAGATTAATATGTCTGGATACTATAGTTCATTATAAAAAATTATTTACTAGGGCGGGGGATAAGAGGTAAGGCGATTTTAAAAAACGAAAAGCCACAAACAATGGCATATTCAGAATTTTATTTTTAACCTCGCTTAAAAAAGGCTTGGGTGGGGAGTTTTTATGGGCAGATAACGGGTCAGGCCTAAAATATAGTAAGCTCGATATTAATATTAAAATCAGGCAAATATATTGCATTGGAGAGTGATACTATTACTTAATGCTGAATTCATAGAAGCTTTCGTTCCGCCAAGTGTGAATTTCATTAAAATGATATGTAAGAATATGCCTAAAACTTTTAAACAATTGCAGAGTGGGTGATTTGGAAATATTTTTCGGGCGAAATGAGCAGAACGGGCTTACATTTATTTAAAATTATTTTTTTATTTCATAATATTGAATATTTTATAAGTTTAAAATATATCAATTGAATAATAAACCGATCCATCAAATAATTCTTAAACATTGTGTGGGCGGGTTAAATGAAAATTACTGGTAAAGGTAGGCTGGTAAAATCTTTTAAATACCATAAGCTAGTTTAAAAATAATTGAAAGGCATTTGGATTAGAAATTGGGCCCATTAAAGACACCTACTTTGAAGCAATAAAAATCTACGAAATATTTAATTTCTTTATCAAGTTTGGAAATAGATTTGGAAATGCTCTGTGATGATATATTTATAAAAGCTGCCTTACTGCAAAAACTTTTCATTCGTTTGAGTTATAAAAACATCGGTATAAAGATATTGTATTCTTCGAATGACCCATTAATATTGTAACGATGACGTGCCTTGCTTTGAGTCGAGGTAGGTAAATTTAATTTTCTGACAAGTGACATAATTTGTGAAATTTATCACTAATTTTTTTAAATTTCAGTATAATGCTTTCAGCAGCTTTCTCATAGTCTCAATCAAAACGTTATCATTTTTTGAAACATTTACCTTAATTTTGCAGTGAAAAAGTTTCAAATGATTGGTGTGAAACTTTAAAATGGTGAATAAATATAACGGCTTGGAAAATTTGAAATCGATATAATAGAATAAATTAGTAGTTTTCTGCTATGAATGTGCTAAATCTAAATTTGAATAGAAGAAAATTCTTTCACTGGTTTATTGCAAAACATTTCAATATATTTTTAACAAATTTCTTATAAAATTATTTAACTTGTCATATTTATTGTTTTTTTAAATTTAATTAACATATTTTTACAATAATTATGGTAAGGTAAATATTTAAAAGTTGTTAAAAATATATGGAAATGTTTTACAACAAATTATGTAAATATTGCAATTAATAATAAAATATTATCTATCAGAAATAACAAAACCATTCTATCTTATTTGCAAAAATTAAGAAGATTTATTAAATTTTCAAAATTTATGTTGAAAATGGGGGAGGGGATGGTAGGGCGGTAAATTTATCGTAGTAAAAAAAATACTATCATATTTAAGCGAAATCTTGCTTACTTAAACAATTAACAAAATACTCTTATAACTAATGTTTTATAAAGGCTCATTTTGAGCCGATTTTTAAAAACTGCTAACTCAATTATTAGGAAAAATATTATGCAAGCCTTAAGATTTTGCTTATAAGTGGCACAAAGGTTTGAACATCTATCGTAATCTCTAGGCTTAGACAATATTTTTCTGGCAATCGGCTACATCGAACATTTAACAACACCACTTATAGCATTTGTCGCTTAGGATAAGACTTTTATTTTGATATGTAGTTTATTAAATGCATTTGCAATATAGTTTAGATTCGCGGTATTGCACCGTTACTGCCTTTCCGCAAATTCATATATGATAAAAAAATTATAAAAAGGTAAAGTTTTCGCTATAGTGATTTCGCGATAAAAGTTGCGCTGAAATGTATAAGCTTCTGAATGTTCGCGATTTATGTCTCGCGAAATATATTTTCTTATAGAGTAAATACCAATCAATCGAATGAGCGAGGTCCTTAGAAAAGAAGATGCTAAATAAATATTATTAAACTTTGAGAAGTAGATTATCTAACTGAGATAATTAATTATCTATGATGGGAAAGATTACACATCAGGAATTCCAAAACGCTGTAAATGACAAGGATATATCTATCAATACACAGCTTTTTGTGAAAGACTCAACCCTCACAAACATTGCTTGATTTTATTAATTATTGTAACACGTGGTTTTAGATCATTAGTATATAATCATTTTTTATTCCTCTTCTAACATTCACTTTACAACTTAAAAGACAAGATAAGCATAATAACGCATTCAAGAAATTCCAGTTTTTCAGTGGGCATATTATGAGTTAAGTGAGCAACTTTTTATTTATAAAGACCGATTTGGACGGAAATGATAGTCTGCATTTGCTGCTAGAGCGAATTCGCTACGAAGTATACAAATCGTGTGTATCTTTGTATTCATCTCCGCGAATTCGCGTTAACTCTAAATGCAGCATTAGTGTTATTACTCAAGGGTTGGTGGCTTATCTTTCTTTTTGTTTAAATTTTTATGGTAGTTATTTTTTTGTGTGTATTTTATTTTATTTCTTGCCCAATAAATTATTTGAATTTACTAGATTTCATATCAATATTATATACAACACTATCTTCGCGAAAGAATTATCAATTTATAATTAATTTCGAAAAATATATTTGAAATGATTCTACTATACTAGATACAAACTTCATCTCATTTATACTTACAAATTTTAAAAAAATGTTGAAAATGTAATAATAGATAAATAATTATATTAATTAATTAGGTAAGAGACAATGGATTAATTATTAAAGAAAGAAAAGTGTAAAATTTTTCTAAAATATAAATTGTGTCAAGCGCAGGAATAGAAAATTAGAGAAAGATAAAAAATAATTTCAAAGGCTTATTGTTAACCCATTTTTTCCTTCTTTTGTTATAAGAAATATGAAACTTTAATATAATTTATCGTCATTTTGAATATTATAAATATTTACAAAACTTTCTATTAAATGAGAATTTTAAAGTTTTTATTGGTTATTAGCGGTCTACAACTACGATCCTCCATTTGGTATTAAGCTTCAACTTTTGAAATGTTCCTAGAGAATGGGAAAACTAATGTGATATGATTTTGAAGCTCCATGCATACTCCTCACCTAGTTTTTACTGTAGAAAATAATGCGTGTATAAAAATTAATTGTTTTAACTAACCATTTATTGAGATTACTTTCACAAAGGGGTCATTGCGCTAAATCCCACCCTATCAAACGTATTTTCTAAATTGGCAATTAAAAAGTATAACTGTTAACCTTTAGCCTGGTGGTCCTTCTATTGGCTTACCACAAATATGGCATTTGTTCTCCCATCCGTTATATCGTATAAGGATTTTTTCTATAGAACCGTTGTCATGAGTACCACACCAATGCTTACATAATGGCGGGTTGTAAAATATATTTTAGGAACACGTGGGTAAATTTTTAGCGGGTTCCCTCCAATTTTCTCTCTCATGTGGAGGCTGCCCTGCCACCATTTTATCGTGTGACTTGAAGACCCTTTGAATTTTCTCCTTTATTTTATGATGGATGAATCAGAAATTTTCTCATCTTATGAGATGTGATTTAGAAATATATATTTATTTAGATAAGAGGTTATTCTAAAATTTTCCATTATTTTTAATAAAATATGTTTATAAAGTATATATTTAGTAATTTTAATTTACGTGCAAATATCTTTTAAACAAAATTTTTATTCATTAAATATATTCTTGATAGATGAGAGTTTTGCATAACTTATTTTCGATTTAACTTTGCCTCCCAAAACTTTCTCATTTAGCAAGAATATTTTCTTAGATTATAAATTACAAATACAAATGAATAAAAATTTAGTTTAAAATTTACTTTTATTTTTTATTATCATTTAATTTTAAACCTTTAAAAAGGTCTGGTTTTTATTTACAACTACTTTTCAATAAAATAAAGATACTCTTTTAGCCGATTAAAGTATCGTTTACGTGCCCCCAATTACTTACATATTCAAATAAAAACGAGGGGTTTTATTTAATCGAGTCGTGAAAGAAATATGATAATTCATCGCTGAAAAAAAAATATAATCAAAAATTGGTTTTATGTTTTGATTGAAACGATAGTCTTTTCTCGAACAAATCATATTTCCGATAAAACAGTCAGTTCTCGCGTTAAACAAAACCGGAAATTAGTCGAGAATTAAGATGGGAGAATCGAGAAGAGCGTCGTTTTGTCCTTCCAAAATCAGGACAGTGGGTATTCGGATACTTCGTCGACGACTCCTGTAGATCATCTCTCGGACGCTACTAAGTTTGAATGCGCCCACGATTCCAATAACCACAATATAGATGACCCATCGATCAAAACGGTTAACGAAGTTGTCCTAAAGAACAAAATTCCCATCAAATTTGAAATAAGAAACGCTTACCAACAAGAAATTCTTTCCCTATGTAATTGAAGACACGACGAATTCGGTTACAGGGCTCATTGGAACTACCTAGTGGATCTTTTCAATTGCTACCCATCGGGGTGGATAGTAGTTATTGACGAAAAGGGGTCCATTATTGGTTCAATTTTCGAAATGAATATAAGCTTGCTTTTGGAGGAGTATTCGCCGTTAAAAAGCCTTTCAGATGTCAAGGGATAGGCTAAAAATTTCTGTGTCAACGCGGCGCGGTGGTTTCCAGTGTAGAACCCAACCAGAGACTTGGTATGAAGGTGGGTTTTAGATTGGCCAGATACTATGGCTTGGTTAATTCCAGAATCATTGAAGATGCAACATCCATATTATCCATCCCATACCTTAATCTTGCAACCAAAATCTGTTACGATTATTAAAATTAGAAAAAGAAAATAATATCTCAATCATAAATCATCTTCTTCGAGCTTCTACTCTGAGTCATGAAGAAGAAAGAAAAGCAGACACAAGTACCTTCTTAAGCTCAGTTATGGCTCCTTTAACTATTCCTGATACTCTTCCCTTATATCCCCCAAAGTTGCAAGAAGAGGATGTCGAAACCATAAAAGATCTGGAGCATTCTGATCTCCTGAAACTACTAATAGATTACGACACCGTCATACATACTTCCTCCCGCGAGGGTATATTCAAGAAGCGGTATCCCATTATGAACACACTACAACCATCGTAGCTCTTACTCTAAACCGCTAGACGGTTCGCATCAGATAGTTGGCTACGGTATCTTGAGACCGCGCTATGTAGATATCCATAGGACCTCTGTACCCGACTCATGCGATTAGCCAGGTGCATATTCATAGCACTGTTAAATAAGATTTTGACTCAAGAACCTGTCTTAATTGATACAATCATAATCAAAGAAGATACGGAAGCTAAGAATGATTCTGGTAATGCTTATCCTTGCCTAACGAATTTAGGAAGCGAATAATCAAAAATGTGCTTAAGAACTTGGGGCTTAGGCGAGAATGCTTCCTCTATCGAATGTACACTAAAGAAAACGTCGATCTGCCATAACACAAAACTTGCGCCATTACCAGTTCCGAAGCCTTTTTGTTATAAAACGCTATACGCCTTCATCCATTTTTTTTTAATATTAAATTTATTTTCGTTACTTTATTTGTTACCATAAGTTAATGTATTACTATCTAATTTGTATATTTTTTTTAAAAAAAAACCTGACTTGTATCTTCTTCTTTCCTCTCCTTTAGATTCATTTCATCGTTATTGTTTATTATATCCTCTTTGTTTACTCCCTCTTCGGTTCTCTCTTCTACTTCGCTCTCTTATACTTCGGGTCTCTTTTTTAATTCGAATTCTTCAGTTAATATATTTTCGGTTCTTTTCCTTAATTGATCAGTATGACATACAATTGTTTTACCCTCTATACTTCATATCGTAATGATCCGAGTATGCTTTTAATAATGGTTTTTCCCCATTTTTTTTCTTCATTGTAAAGGCGCCACCACACTTTTTCATTTATCTCGAATTTTTGAGTGTAGTATTCCAACTTCTCCTTTTTGTTCCCCCTTTCAAATATTTGGTCTGACAATCCTCTAGGTTTAATTTTTAATAGTATTTCAGCGGGACTTTGTTCAGTTTCTATTCGGTAATTGTAGAGAAAAATAGCTAGACTGGTTTCTAAATCCCCCTCGTTTCTTTTATTCATGCTCTGTTCAAAGGTTAGAACTAAACGTTCGGTTATGCCGTTTGCCTGAGGATGGTATGGACTTCCGTGCACTAATTGAATCCCGTTTTTTTTCACAAAAATCATTGAAATCTTTGCTGCTGAATTGTGGTCCGCTCTCAGAACGATTATCTTAGGAAATCCGAATCTGGCATTTCTTAATATTTTTATCGTGCTTTCAGTTGTAGTACTAGTCATGGGAACTATTTCTGGCCAGCGACTGCTAGCATCTATCCCTACCAACCAATAATGATTTTGAAAAGGTCCAGCGTAATTAATATGTACTCAGTGCCATGCTTTTGGTAGTTTTGGCCAATTCAGAATTGATGTCTTTTGAGGCATATCATGTTTTCCTGACATTCTCTACATTATTTGACCCATTCTATATCTTGGTTTATATTAGGCCACCACGCGTATTGTCTTGCTCTCATCTTCATTTTTACCATTCCAATATGGCCTTGATATATCATGTCCAACATGTTGTTCCGATATTGTTGTGGCTTAGAAAAAAAAATTTTAAATTCTCATTTTCCCACTTAAACCTCGGTCCAAAACATAAAAAAATTATATTAGATCATAACTTTGACGTTAATCTTCATTAAAGTTCAAAAACTCTTATTATTAAAAAAAATTATATCAAAAATATTTTTTTCAAAATGTTTTTACAATAATTAAGGAAAGTTATTTAACTATATAAGAATGTTTTTTCACATTATGGAAATGTGTTACAACAATAACAAATCATATTATTAGTGTATATGTGCAATTTTAATACATGATTTATTTACTATTCTTTTTTTATTAAAAAATATAAATCGTTTATTTAATAAATATTGTTAATGGTGAAAAAAACAAGAAAATTTTACTTTTTTATAACTTACTTTTTTAAAATAGCCCAAAATTTATTTTGAGATAGATTTATTTTGGGAGAAAGAAACAAGGTGAGAAATTGGTTATTATTGAGGTGTGTGAGGAGGGGGTGGGGGGGGGGGGGTTACTAATAATTTTTATATATTTCTTATATTTTATTAATTTTTTTTTTTGCACAAACATATTTAAAATTATTTTATATGAAAACATATTTGAAAAAATCATTTTCCTATTTTTTTTTTATTTCACATCTTTTCATACTAAAATGTCGTACCAAGATAGTGATGAAGATAACAGCAACCCTCTACTAAATAACATGGACCTTGACTCGGAGGTAGAATTATGTAACAATTTTTTATAATTATAAATGTGATTAGAATGACCTTGCATACAACCAAGATCTTCTAGATGATCAAGATCAAGACATCAATATGAGTCAGATATCAGTAATATCTGATTCATCAGTTAATATATTGATAGATAGTACTTCTTTTAATACAAAGAGCATGTTTGAATTAAGCCCCAACAAAAATCGCCGAATGTGTAAAATGTGTAATAGATATTTTAGCGTTCACACTGCAACAAGTATTTTAATAAATAAAATTATAAGCTATATTAATTTTTATAGCCAATTTAAAAAATCACGTTAGAAGAAATCATCCAGATTTAATTGGGAAAGGAGAGAGCGAAGATATACCCGAAAACCTAGTTGGCATTCGTAGATTATTACCTTAGGAAAATGAATGCCTTAACAAATTAATTTTGAAATTTATTATAAAAAACAACATTCCTTTCAAAGCTATGGATAGTAAGGAGTTCCGAAATATATTTTCCTTCATATTCAAGAATGAAAAAATCTGGACAAGACCAGCCTGTAAGTACATTGAAAAAATGTATAAAATTTCAAAATTACAACTTTAAAGAATATTAAAAGTAAATTGGCTATCACGACTGATATGTGGACCTCCATTAACTCATCGTCTTTTTGTGTAATTACATGCCACTATATCGATAAAAAGTGGAAAATGGAAAGTTGTCTTTTAGATTTAATTCAGCTACCATACCCTCATAGTGGTGAGGAGATATCACAATATTTGTTAGAATCTCTCGATGAATTTGAGATAAAGGACACAATTATCTCTATCACGCATGATAACGCACCAAACATAGTAAACGCTGCTGAAAAAATGATTACACATTTTCATGAAAAATATAAAACAAGCTTATACAGCCACCGATGTTTAGCTCATATTATAAATTTGATAGTTAAAGAGGGGATTTCAGCCTTAGATAAAAAACTAAATAAAATAACTAATCTTGTAAAGAAGTTACATTCTTCACCAAAACTTTTACAAAAGTATTTGGAGCTCTCAGGAGGGACGAGGATTCCTTTAGATGTAGTAACTAGATGGAACTCTAAATATTTAATGATATCAACAGTAAACAAAGTAAGAACATATTTTTTCATAATGTCTTTTATGTTCTTCTTTTGATAACCTTCTTGAGATATAACATTGCATTGTCTAATAAGATATTTAATTTATATTGAATTTAGAAGCAATTAAAGAGCTAGGAAAAAAATGTATGCAAAGCCTTTCGATATAAGCGTTAGGGAGGCAAAATCTTTAAAAGAAGTTGAAATTTTTTTAAAACCTTTTTATAAAATAACACTCGAAATATCGTCAGATACTACAATTGGATCCGCTGTTTTATTTATAGCAAAGATGGACAAAATTTTAGGGAAGACTTCCAAAAATCATCCAGATGATGATATTAAAAATGCGGCAAGTAAAATGCAGATAAAATGTGGAACGTATAAAAACTATCTGAGCACATTCAGCAATTATGTATCTACCATGTTAGATCCGAAAACTAAGATGAAATATATGCCTCATTTTGTAGCAAAGCAGGATTATAATGAAAAATTCAATTTATTATATAAAACCTATCGGTGGCCACACAAAGCAAATGTGTATGACTTCTCTTCAGATGATTTGGAAACACAGCCTTATTCGGTCTGTATGCATCACGAATTGAGAAAGTAATTATAAATATTTGGTTATATTAATTTATAATTTTAGAGAAGCTTGTGAGTTTCCAGATCTCGTAAGATATGGTGGGCGAAAAACAGCGATTTTTACCCAACCTTGTCACTGATAGCTAAGGATTACCTTGCTCAACAAACGTCCAGCGTTCCAAGCAAAAGAGAATTCAGCAAGGCCGTTGATTTTTTGACCAGGAAGCGAAACAGGATATCACCAACAACATTTAAACATTGTATGTGCTTAAATAATTTGGATGTTTCAATATGAAATCATTATATATATATATATATACATTTGTATCTTATTGATTCTATTATAAATCTTGTTTTATATTATAGTTATCAATAAATATTTAAAATATAAATAAATATTGTGTAATTTATATATTATTTTGAAGATATTTAGTAATAATTTATTTAATATAAGATTATAGGCCTATTTTTATTAGATTTTATCTAAGGTTTTACAAATTTAAATCAAAGATCAAAAACATTTTAATTTATGTTTCTCTATTTTAATAATAATTTTTGCTTAGAAAATTCTCAAATATCAAAAATTAAATATAAAATTACTATTCACTCACATATATAAGACATTTGAATAACTAAAAAATCTACGCGAATGAATTTTTTATTAATTAAATTTTTGTAAATAAAATATGTTACTTTTTTTATTATAATAACTAAATAAAAATAAAAAATACAAATCTTATTTATTTTAAAAGTACCATGAAAACAAATAATATATTATTAAAAAGAGGAAAAGGGAGTATTTCGAAGAAGCAAAAAAAAATTCAAATTATATTAATTATTGAAAAAAAAATTTCAGGCATAAATTATTTTCGTGGGATAAAAAATCCCGATAAAAAAAAGGTCTACATTAAAACCAATGTTTGTCTTGACATAATAGAGCTCTGGTTCATCTAAAAAAAAAGTCGGCAATATACATCACAGTATGAATAGGTTTTAAGCAGTAACACCCCCCCCCTTCGCGATTTTTATAATAAACACCTTGTTGGTATAAAGTGTATCACTATATTATATTAAATTGTTTTAAATCACGATCTTCCCCATTCCCAATAATTTATTCGTTCTCTTGTCGACATAAGTATACAAGTTGGAAGTCTAAAGTAAAAAATAAAAATAAAATGTTTTATTAATTAATAATAACTAATTTCAAATCTTCGTCCTCTGGTAGACGACTCAAGTTCATAGAACTATTCGTCCGCTAGTCGACGACTCAAGTTCATAGAACTATTCATTTTCTAATCGACTCAAGTATATTATATTTCGTATAAATAACGACTCAAGTTGGAAATCTAAAGTTAAAAATAATAAACAAATGTTTTATTAATAATAACTAATTTAAAATCTTCGTCCTTTAGTACTCAAGTTCATGGAACTATTCGTCCACTAGTCGACGACTCAAGTTCATAGAACTATTCGTCCTCTAGTCGACTAAGTTTTTAGAACTATTCGTCCTCTAGTCGAAGGCTTAAGTTCATAGAACTATTCGTCCTCTAGTCGACTAAGTTCATAGAACTATTCGTCCTCTAGTCGACTAAGTTCATAGAACTATTCGTCCTCTAGTCGACTCAAGTTGATAGACCTGAGTTCACAACTCGAGTCAGTTTTGGGTCGATTTTTTTGACCCAAAACTTGACTCCAGTTTTCGGCTAAGTCGACTAGACTTAGTCGATTAACAACACTAGAGGCAAGTAAATTCTTTAAACAATTAATATTTTTTTACCTTAAAAATGAATGTAATTTTCTTTGAGTTGCCTTTTTTTAAAATTGTTTTCCTTTCCATTTTTAAGGTTTTTTAGGGTGGCCTCATCTGTCTCTTACTTGTACTTATATACGGATAATAAGTCCTACCTGGAAACTCCCTCATAACGTTTTCGATGGCTTTCTCATAGAACAAATGTGTTTCTTCCTTTTATAGCGTTATTTCTTTGGGGATCTTATATACATCTTTTTCTTTGATCAGTTACATGCTTTTTATTAGTTGGATACCATTTATTTAGTACTGTACCTCCTTTTTAACATCTCTAGTTTTCTTCCAATAAAACGTTCCCTATAGTTGTTTCTGTCTCCTTTCGGAAAGTACTAATGTTGGTTATCATTCTATCCGTTAATATTTTCTCATATATTATTTATGGTTTACGGCATCAAGTATTGTTTCTCTCTCTTCATCGAGCATAGCGGTATGATATAACTTTAATTTGTAATTTTTGCCATAGAGATTCTTTACCCCCCCCCCCTCCTTGTCCTATGTGGTAAA